ATTCGCATCCCATTATTGGAATGCCTGCAAGAGTATTTAAGCTTCGGCGTGCCAAAAACAGGCGTTTTTCATGCATTTGTTGTCTATTGCTCAGTTCTGACTGATTTGGGTGCAGTTGTTATTATTGCCGCTTTTGTTGTTGAGTGCAATTTTTGGATCTCGTAGCTAGCAGCTGACTAACGAAAGCAAACTGAACGCTGCAAACAATTTGTGGAACAAAAGTCTGAAAGCTGAAAATGTTGAGCCACCGATGGCCGGGTGAATCGCTTGACTATGCATGAGCCTGTGGAGCACGATTCACGGAACGCTTGCCATATTTTCGTGGTGGCTTTGGACCATCATTGGCATCGTCAGAGACAAAGTTGTCGTTGTCGTTGTCGATTGCCAAATGAATTTTGCCAGCCAGCGAAGGCTGAAATTGGCTTTTGCCTTTTGGCGAACGTATTTTGAATTTTAATGGGACGGCGCCAAAGACGCAAAGCAACAGTGGTAACCCTTTTATCCCTTTTTTGCTGTCTGTGTCTCTTTCTATTGACGCTTTTTGTTTGTCATTTCAAAGACACACACAGTCACCCACACATTCACAATCAAGCACACACAAACACACACATAGTCACGCATAATATTTTAGCCGACTATTTCATTAGCAAAGCAGCCGAAAAGGCATACGTATATGGCCAAAGAAGCTTGGTGGGCGTGGCCTGGCAGCTGGCTCGGTTGGTATCACCCCAATCCCCGAACCTATTTCCGTCCCTGAAAAACCAAAAATCAACACATGCTCTCAACTTGGCGGCATTGGAATGGACGCACTACAAAAAGACCGCAATGCGATTGGATTAACATTTGCTGAATATCTTCCATCTCAGATGATGTATGTGTATGTGGGTCTCCTGTCCCTAGGCTGTCATGAAGTCAGTCTGTCAGTCAGTCAGTCAGTCTGCCAGTCAGTCAGTCAGTCAGTCAGTCTGCCAGTCAGTCAGTCAATCAGGACTCGAGCGTGAGTGCTTCTTAGTTTGTGGTTGAAGACTTGGGTGAATGATTGGCAAGCACCATATTTGAATATTTGATTGTCTTGTCACTCTTACATTCGTACAATGTGTGTGTGTGTATATGCGTGTGTGTATATATATAATATGTTTCTTTATGTTTATTCCCCTTTATAGGCAAAGTACATAGATAAGTGATCAGATATACGAACTAAAACGTGAATATAGTCTTATAAGTCTCATCGAAAACATAATAGTAGGGTTAACTTCGGCAAAGATGTGAGCAGACTTGGAAGGCTCGCTGTTGCTGGGTTTGCGGAGCATATATTGAAGAATAGAACATGTATTCATATAAACACGAAATTTTCGATTGATTTTCTCGCAGTCGCACAGATAACCTTATTACAAATATCCTTAAGATACCCTGCAAAACAAAACAGTTTTTATTTAAAAGAACCTATTCCTATGACAGCATAAGTATTATATGCGACCGAAAGATCTATGCTAGTTCATATACGAAGAGATAGGCAGGCAGAAGGGCGACGGGCATGTCTACATAGACTTGGCTGTTAAATCTGATAAAGATAATGTACAATATATATAACTTAGTGGTCGGAGATAACTTCTCTGCGTAACCTTTTAGATGACAATGTTATGTAAGGGCTTACATATACATATATTCAAATGTCGAGTTCCAGAACTCTTGTTTAAATTTAAAGGTGACGACAGGTCAAAATTTAAGATTCAGTTTGTCATGAATATGATATATGAATTGGTTTGCATTTAACTCTTGTGCGTCATTTAAGGAACCTGCCTGTGGATAGCGTCCATCTGCTTGTTTTTTTTTTTACTACTGGTCATGTGCGAATGTGTGCGTGTGTGTGTGTCTGTGCGTAAGGTCATGACACACATTTGACAAAAAAAAAAAAAAAATAAAATAAAGAGAAAGGAGCTGTCGCAGGCATGGCTGTGTGTTCTTTGAGGTCCTTGTCGTGGCCGTCCATGCCCTTTGCGGCTTTGCCTGTTGCCCCTTGTTACATTAGCGGGCTTTAGGCCTGATTAGGCAACCGCTAGAACGACTGTAGCTCTTTAGGCGTGCCCAGTGCTGGCATTTTGACCTTGGCCGCCACGTTGCGCCTTTGCCAGATGACCCGACAAAGCGAGCAAGTGCTTTATAACAAATGTGATTCCCAAATGTAGCAATTAATACTTAAATATAAATAGGAATTCTGATAATCAAGCTAATGGATAATTCAAATAAAAATTGAATTATTGAATTGAATTCAATTGAATTGAATTATATAAATGGGTTTGATCAATGCAGAAGTTCAGCCTTAAAAGCTTGAAAGCTGGAGCCTGCTGAAGCTTCCTTTTCGATCGAACGTGAGAACTTAGACAGAGGTTTTTTGAAAAGTCAAATCAGTGTTTGTATAAAAAACATCAAGAACAATGTAGACTACCAAGCAAATTTTATATTAATTGAGACGCTTCAGAATTATTTCTAGCTAATTTCTGATTTTCCAAAATTATTAATTACTTTCCCCGACAGGTACGTAATTATATTGGCCGAATACATGAATTATTCAATTTGCGGCAAGTTGTGCAACAAGGAGACAACAATTTCTGGCCTTATTTCGAATACACAATACAGGTATGTTAAATAATTCATAGCACATTCTTGCAGTTAGCATCTAATCTCTTAGCCATTAAATAACAATTACAGAGAGAGTAAAGCCATTTGGGTTATGTTTGGTTAGGTATAAGTCAAGATTTTGCATTTCTATGGGTCATATGAATGCCAAGTATGTATGTACAAGCTTACATATCAGTGTGTGTAGGTGCGTGTGTGTGTGTGTGTGTGTAGGTGCGTGTCGGTGTGTGTGGGTGTGTGTATAAATGTATAAATTTGACTGTTGGTAGCTTTTCCGTTTCGCAGAAACTGTGGCGACGCGAAGCCGAAATGCTTTTGCGTGTGGCAAATACTGAAATGAATACGAGCTTGGCGGGATGGAGAAGGGCAGTAAGGGCTGGAATCTGGCGTCAGGAAGTGGGCAAGCAAACGGCAAGGATCCGCGTGCGCCTCGTTGGCTAAGAGAAAGAGATTTATGCCAGCTACAACAGCAACAAAAACAACAACAACAACAACAACAACAAGAGCAATTAAAACAGCGGCAGTAACAAATAAGAATGTGATAAAAATAAAACAAAAGTGAGAAGCCGTCATCGCCAAGAAGGTGGCACCCACAACACCCACACCCCACCACCTTGACGCTCACGTAGTGAGACAGCAGCCGCCCGCTGCCTGGCTGCCAGCCAGCGTCCCGCTGCCCATTCTATACGAAAAAATGGAAATAAATGGCGACGGGCGCTTTTAATGACGCAGCTGTAAACACTTTGAAGGCGTGGGCCCACTTGGTAACGAATGGTGACGGGGGGCGGGGCGGTAGCAGGTTGAGTCGTTGGAGAGAGCAAGAAGCATCTGAGACATGTTTGCTAGTGTCCTGAGCGTTTCACTTGAAATGTATTAATAATTGCCTAATGCCTGCCTAATTAGCCATGCAATCTACTCACACATCCAGTGAATCATAGTGTGTGGATGTGTGTGTGACATCTCCTATAGTTTAACCTAAAAAGCCATATTCAAAGCCAAGTTTTCCCCTTTGCGCTGTCAAACAATTTTTGATAACCAAACTTTTTACCGGCACCTAAAAAAAAAAAAAAAAAAAAAATAAAAAAAAAACAAATGCGTATAAAAAGCAAAATACCCAGGCACATGCCTCCTCCATTGGGTTATTAGCGTTTCGCTTTCTCTCTCTTTCTCTTTTCTTCTCCATCTCTTTCTATTAACATCTCGTTCGCACTCTGTGTGCTTGTGGCGCTGTCGTCCTCTCTATCGCCATATGCCCAACCAGACAGACTTTCAGTGCTCGGTACTTTTGACTGCTGCCAGCATGAGAGAGAATTTCCCTAAGGGTAATTTTTTTATCGCATGCTATATTTGTATGATATTTAGCTTTGCTTGATTCACAAACGTATTTAGACGTACTTTATTTATCACATGGCCCCTTGAGACTTTCTGGCATTGGGATCCTTAGTCATAAGGGGCTTGAGAAAGATATAAATTTTTTAATGGTGCTTACGAGTGATTGATATTAAGAGAGAAGTTAAAGCGTAAGCAAACTGAGCATTTGGGCGCTGCACTAAAATAGATAGTAGATACCTTTACGACCCAAAAGGTATACACTAGTACCTATTTATGTTCGTTTGAGTATCTCTATATGGTATATGCTACGATCAAGAGATATCAAATTTAGTATGTAAGTACTCTGAAACTAAAAACAGATCAAGCTTATTTTACTTTGGTCTAATCTCAACTGGCCAGGACAATCTATTCAAGTATCTTTTAGCATCTTCAAATTAGTATACCATTCATTTTTGAGAGTATCTTTAAAGCAAATATGAATATTTGTTAACGATAGCACAGAGTTGACCACAGGGTGTCGCCTAGTCGGGCACACCCGACAATCGCATTCTGACTTTCATTCGATCTGTCTGCACATAAATTAGTTAAATATACTGATTTTTCCCAATGAAGCTATTGAAGTTCATAAAGTAACTGGAGCGTTTTAACTAGTCATTAGGAAATAGCATCACAGCGAAAAATGCTCTAACAATATGTAATAGTATATTTTAATTGTTACGCGATTATGGTTGTTGGTTTCTTTGTGCTGAATTTCATGGCACTTAAACAGCATTTCAATGAAATTAAATATTCATGCGGAATTTAACTGCAAAACAACAAGAGAGCAATGACAAAAAACTGACGCATTGCTGTTAAATGACAGATAAAAAGTGGCTGACAAAACAAAATGGCGGGCGGTTGGATGGTCAACCCCCCCCCAGCCTCAGGTCCCAGAGGCCCCCGAGGCCCTGGGAACGAGTGGCGTGTGCCAAGGTAAATAATCCAATTAAAATATAAAAAGAATATGAAAACGTTAAGATGCCAAAAGCGCATTAGCTTCAAGTAGCGATGACTAAGCCGTCAAATGTTTATTTCAATCCAATTATTATTATTATTGTTGTTGTTGTTGGTGGTGGTGGTGGTGGTGGTTGTGATGGTTGTTATTATTATTGTTGTCCTGGTCATCCAGCTGCTCGTTTGACTATCAATCTGCGGTGTGCACTTCGCTTCATGGGCAGATCCACTCGAATGCCTGAGAGCTGGCAACGCTGAGGCAGGGCTTAGTTGCACGCGACTTCTGTATACCCTATGTGAAATATGACTGGCTATGCTCTTCAAGCCTTCAAATTGTATTATCTCTGGGCCACGCCTCCTTTTATGGCCTGCTCTTATTGTCAGTGCTGGTGATGCTCTCATTGTTGTTGTTTTTGTTGTTTCATGTTTCAATATGTTGTGTCCGTGGGGCTGTGTAATCTGATTTTAATGTTGAACGTCGCAGCGCGTCAGGCTGTAAAGTGCATAATAAAATTGTAGAAATTTAATTATGCGCAATTAATGCGCATTAAATGCAGCAACAGGATATTCAGCGACTGAGTCCAAATGGGGCGTAGCCAATGGCCCGATACCCGATTGCGATGTAGGCGCTAGCTCAGATGGATGCCATGGCTGCCAGCTAATTGACAGTGAGCAAAGTGGCAGAAAAAACAAAAAACCAAAAAAAAAAAACCATTATATTTGTCATGTCGAATATACAATACCCTTCTGAATGGGGATTGGCAAAAGTATGAAGCTCGCAATAGCTGAGATATTTTGAAAAACAGGTATAATTTTCAATACAAAACTCTATTTTGGGCTGATTTTTTCGCATATGATTTCAGTAGTCCGATGTTAATGTGAGCAGCATGGTAGAACTTCTGATTCGTTCATTCCTATGGCAACTAAACGAGATAGTGCTGCGATCCTGCAGATTTCCAAGCATGTATTATTGCCTGCAACACATAGACGAACCTATATAAAGTTCTTTAATGGTAGCTTACAACAGACGTCTGTCTGCTGATGCTGATCATAAATATATAAAAATATATATGGATTTAGAGATGCTTTCTTCTATGCATTATGGGTGTATATTTTATGAAAAAGTAACAATGTCCTGCATAAGGGTATAAACACAGATGCATAGATAATTAATGTTATTATCGACCAGCTTTTGGTCATTTCACATTTTCAAGCTTCATTTAATAGATATTATCAAAAATATTGCGTAGCAATTAATTTTGAATCGACACTTGAATAAAGTGAAAATTTCAGTTCGTTAAAATATTACAATTAATTATTTAAAGACAGACTAGTCGATGCTCTTTAGCCAGTGCTATCAAATATTCCAACGATTGTTGTCGAAATTTTAGCACTTAAAAAAAAAACTTAACCATGAGATAAATAATTAATAATATATAGTTCCGAATTGTGTAATGAGCATTCGTACTTACCTTGTCGCGTTGTTATCTTCCATCGCAGAGAGGTGTTTTCGTCTCGCAACATCGTTTTAACTGGAATGAATAATGAATGATGAAAAATGAATAGGAATGTCTGCTTAGCTAAAAATAAATTTTACCTGTTTTGAAACCAGAATTTTAATTTGTTAATGATAATGATAATGGATAATATAAATAAAACCAAAGCTCGGCTGGAAACGCACCGCACATTAAAGGCGAGGCATTGGTTTAAAAAATTATAGAAGAACAGAAAACGTTTGCTGGGTGAACAGCTAGTCGTATATATTTATTTACGATAACTATAAACATTTGCATAATTAATAAATAAATAAATCCTTTGCCTTGTTAAATAGAGATCAATATCTGAAAATATTTCATTTAAAATGCTGAACCTCGGGCCTCCGGCCAGGCAAAAAGTTAAAAACAAAAAATGTGTTCATAAATTCTTTAAAACTCGCCAGCTACCTGAATATGACTGAAAGCCAACGGCAAAATGGAAAATGCATAAAGTGAAGCTTATGAGACGGGGGCCAGAGTACGGCACTATAAACATTTGCATTTGATTGCGTTTGCCACGGTCAGATAAGCGAAAAAAAAAAAACAAAAAAAAAAAAACAGAAAAAAAAACAGTGTAGAAAAATAATATAATAAAATAAAAAGCCCTATCATAAATTCTATGTGTGTAATATAATAGGCGAACGAAAAGAAAAACAGCAGTTTTTATGACAACAGTCACATATCATTGGCGTCAGCTGCTCGTAATTGCTCTCAGTTCCCAGTGCGGGTTGCTCTATCTATATAAAAGAGTATACAAGAGTTTGACCTGACTAACTGACTGGCCACGCACAGACTAAATTGTATAAGCTAGAAAGCTGAGATTTGAAGTGGGACTTTCTTTTGGGTCAGAAGTGGCCACATCAACAACAAAGTAAAACTAAGGTGTGGCTAAGCTGTCTAAGCTGTAGACTACTGAGCGGAAAATCGCCGGTTTAAAGTAAAGAGCAAACTTTGTTGTTTTTCCAACTACAGTGCTGTCTTTGGCGGATCCCTGCCCATCCGTCTCTCAAGTAGCTCAGTGGGTTGAGTGAAGGACAACAATTAGGGTGCAAATCTTTAAGGGTTAACCAATTTTTATCCCAATGCATTGCTGGTTAACTTATCTTTCATTTTGTCTTATTTTGTTGGGCGCTTTCTCTCTTTCTCTCTCAATCAAATTGTCTTTTTTGTTGGTCGCCTTTCTATGCGATTTTCATGATCACAGATATAGATGTAAAAGAGTGTTTCTTTTTATGCCAACTTAGTCAAAACCGGGCTATAGTATATCTATGTTAAACGCCCTTGAATTGTTTTCTTTAAAATGCGCATTACTTTAAGAATTGAAATTTTGCTCAAAGTCCTGTCTCTAAACAAATGCTACTCACTCGATTGACAACTTTTTCTACACGAGCCATTAAGAATCCGGCTTAAGATACTTATTAAAGAAATTTAATTTTCCATGCAACACAAAGACCTAGCCATAAGCATGGGTCGCCTTGTGGATGTGGACTGGGTAAATGTATGTGCGTATGAGCTCGTATATTATATATGTATGGCTATACGATGTGCGACTCCAGTTGGCCATGGAAAATGCTGCCCGTGGACAAGTCAATGGCGTACAATAACAATAGCATAAGTCAATTTTAATTGACTTTTATCGAGCGCATGGATTTTTTGTTGTGGTAATTGGAAAATTTGTTATAAAAGCTTCGCGTCCTGGGATAAAAAAAAAAAACGCGCGCCAACGGGACCGTGGTCGGTGTCGGGCCCAGACTTATTAGTGCCATTTGTTAGATGATGGTGTAGCTAAAATATGACAGGCGCGATCGCGTAACAGACAGGTCCTGGACGGTCCTTCAGTTTGGCAGCCGCAACTCTCGCACCATGCCGCACACCGCACCGGCAGACCGTCGCTCGCTCATTAGCGTGTGGCCATAACAAGTAGCCGACCGGTGGGCCATTCGGGCAGCGCGCAACTTATGCAAGTTACTTTACCTGGTGTCACAGATTTATGTCCAGCTATTAATCAAATCTGTGGCACAGGGCACAGTGGCAGTGAAGTTTGATTGCCACTTGGTTTGCCTGGACAGCAGCCGAAAATTTATGTTAACTGCCTGCCTGAACTGGCATTCAATTTGAAATTGGCTGCGAAAAGTTGAGATTGAGATTCCTGAAATATGATCCAGTCGTTCGGTCGGTCGGCCTGCCTTGCTGGTTCGCTCGCTGGCTACAACGATGCTTATTTTAATGGTTGGTTAGTTGCTTTTAGGATGCTGCCCGGCCAGTGTGTGGGGCCCATCTGATGTGGCGCATTTGGTTTGCCATTTCTCAGAGCTGCTCGTTAAATCTGATGCTAGTCTGTCTGTCTGACTGTCTGACTGTGCGCCCTTCTATTAACGATAATGCAGACAATTATGCACAGCCTGTCTTTAACTTTCCACTGCTGCTGCCGCTGCTGCCGACAGCTGGCTGGATTTCAGCTGAACTGTGTTTACAATACCACAACCAGTCCTGTTGTTGTAACCACTGTCAAAGTTTTTCGAGTTATATCTAAAAATATTACGAACTGACAAAATTACTAGCACAACTTTTGCGTATTTTGGCATAACTTTTACTTTATAGTCACAGTTTTTCGAGCATTTTTAGTTTGCCTATGTTTATAATCTATAAGTAATATATATTTTCAAATAATTCCTTTAATAGTATACTCATTAAGTTTGTTATAAAATCACAGCATTTGTTAATGCCAGTTAGTACTTTTAGCTAAACTTTTTATTCTGATAATTTCATCTTGAGAGGAGCTTTTGAATTATCATATCAAATAAATATGAACATTAAAAGTTCTCAGAATATCTTTCAGTCCATATCAATTAAGACTTGATCAAAAGTGTATATTTTGTATAAAGAATGCATTTTGCAAAAATGGACAACAGCATATTTTTTGTAAATTCTGTTATTATTTTCCTGCTTTTTCTATCACCAGGTGTGCATATTCCAATTTAAATTGAGCTGAAAGCTATTAGAATTGGTTAATAAATAAATAAATAAATAGGATAAATATATTTCCAGCCAACATTTCATTGGGAAACTTTTCTATGTTCTGACATTTTCTAAAGCCCACAATGCAACATAAAAAAAAAGGCAAAGTAAATGAATTGATAAATATTTCTTTGTGTGCGATTGCGAAATCCAAATATTCCCAAATATTCGACAAAGCCAATAAAAGCCCTAAAAAAAGGGTGGAAATTTCTCTATAATTTTGTGAAAAAAATGCAATTGTTTTTATGCATGAATTTTCATACAAAATATACATTTCCATTGACAATTTAATAGAACTAAAAGGAAAATCAAAAAAAAATTTGATTATCGAATTCTTTAAAGTGATATGTTAATTTTGTAATTTACGGTTAGCTTTGAACAGAGTGAAACTGGATGCCAATCAAAGCAGAAGTTAACGATTATATTTTATCGCCACTTGAGTGGCGAAAAGGTTAAATCTGTAGTGGAATGCATATCATCAGCACTAGCCTACTCATATGCCTACTCACATGCGAACCAGCAGCTTGTGACATGTGATGATGAGGCTCATTGTGTCCTAGTTATGTCATTGCTCATCAGCGCCGCATTCTCCTGCTGTGGGCCAACATGTTGCAGTGTCTGCAAAGGCGCTGCTGGAAAGTAGGCAATGCTTTTTTTCTTCCATATTTCTTCCATTTTTTTTCGGCTTGACAAATTGACGAGCTAGCATGTTTGGTTAGCACATTTGCATATGCAGCACTTGTGCAAATAAAAGTAGGTTTGTGCCGTTGCCGTTGCCGTTGCCGTTGCCACTGCCGATGACAGTGCGTGTGTGTGCGTCTGTGTGGGGGCTACTTAGACTGGCAGTGTACGCTGATTGGGGCAACCAGTGCAGTTTGTTTGTTTGGCGCCTCCACATGTTGCACCAACTGTCACGTCATTGTCGCTTTGAGGAAGACGCCAACTATGGCAAAGGAGCAAAAAAATATGCGAGCCTGCATAAGGGCATGCGGCACATCAATCACTCGCTTCCCTCGCTCAATTCACTCCATTTTGATATCTGTCACTCTACGGAAGCGTACAATAAATGTGAATCAATATGCTGTATTTCCGTTACAGTAAAAATACCCTGCAACCGGTTCAAGTATTAACATTGGGAACTGACATGTTTTTGGTTAACCTCTTAATAGACACTTTGTAGTTCATGCTTTATTAATTTAAAAAATAAAAATTGTCCGCTCCCGTAGTAAAAAAGTGCAATTTAAACCGTACTAATTTTACAACCGGAGAAGGTAACGACCGAGTTTTGTATCAATTTTAGCACTTGCGGTAGGACTACTGTATACATGCATATATACATACTAAGGATATACATATCCACTTTCATATATGCAAAAGTTAAGCTATGTTAGGTTTACGTTGACAGCATTTGTATCACAATAATCAAGGCATATTAAATGCTCCTAAATACATTCTTATATACACATGTAAAGATACTTGGAATTGGTTTATTACAATGAGAACTTGGAATTTTGATTGTTGCAATATTGAATTAAAATCCCATTTGCTAATCTGTAAAATGAACAATATTCAGTTTTTATTGTTCGACATTGTTTGTTCTTTTGAGTGAAATTGCAAATACGATATTTGACCATAGCCTGGCAGCCTACATTGGGAGTTCAAGTGCTTAGCCTGGAAAAATTTAATGCACGACTTAAGTGCCTTTTAAGGACACGGACAAGGACATGGATATAAACATGGATATGGACACTGGCAACACAAGCACAGAAAACAATTAGTTCGTGTAATTACTGACTGCTCTGTGCTTTTAGGAAAGGAAGAAGAGGGCAGCGGGTAGGCAAAATAAAAAAACAACAGCACTAATGTTGCCCGAGAAAACAAAATTAAGTCTGTGTGTGTGTGTGTGTGTGTGTGCGTCAATGTGTGTGTGTGTGTGTGAGTCATGTGCATTGCATTTGCATTTAAATGGGAAAGAGAGAGCAAAATGGAGGTTTGCGTTGCATATGCCAAACAACTGGCAACGAACAAAACAACAACGACACAGACAACGACAAAGAAAACAGCAAAATACAATACAATAAACATGAAATGTATTTTGGCATATATGCCCAAATGTGTGCGTGTGTTGCATGTGTGCATAAGTATGTACACATATCTACGTGATTGCAGACAACAGGCCCCAGTTGCAAACTAGTGCCAGGGCTATGCCTGGGTCCTGGCCAGACCTAACCCCAAAGCATGCGCCACGTTGCACAAAATGCCCAATTTGGTCAAACGTCAGTTGGGGTATGCAATGAACGAATGTAGATGCCAGCCACCCAAAGCACCCAACAGTTCTCCGAGTAACGCCCACATCGCACGCATTTGCAATTTAAACTG